GTCTGTGAGCGGGCTTTGCCCGCACCTCGCGTCACGGCGGCCTCCAGTCACGTCACGCCCAGCCGCGAGGTCGCCTGCTTGTGCTTGTGCAACGGGTGGTGACGTCAGAGCGCCGGGTCGGGGAGTTTGCCCGCGGCAGGGAGGCTGGAAGCAAGTCCGGCTGATAAGGGGGCCGGTGGGGACTCGAGAGGCCCTGGAAATCTGTGAGGATCGTTAGTCAGTGGCCTAAAGCGGGGCGTTTTGTAATGGAAATAGTTATTGGAGGGCTTTCCTCTAACTTGGGTAGTGTATCTGTAATTTTATACGTATTAAGCTATTTCTCTTGTTGCAAGCCAGTACCTTTTTACCTGGCAATCAAATTTTATTCCAGTGTAGGATCTTAATTTAGAGTAATTTTCCGCCTTTCTTCAGAACCAGCACTGCTAACAGCCAGGAAGATAAGTTGGTATTATTTGTCCCTGTAGTGCAGGAGTATTCATTAAATTCCTAACGTATCTGTAAGCAATTTGTAAAAAGTGTCCCTGATGTGACCTGCAGGTTTCTCTATTAGCAGTCATGCCTGGTCAGAAAGGAACCTGTCTTATTTATTTCAAGATCCCTGAGACTGCACGGCACAGAAGTGAATTTGACATTTTCTATTTTATTGCCAGAATTCAGTGGCGATGGAAGCAATAACAATGCACCCTTCACAATACGGGTCATAAGCAATTTTAGACAAGCACATGCTTTAAAAACTGGTAAACTACTGGACTGCTAAGTGAATTGAGAAATAAATCCCAAGTTTTGCAAGCTTCTCAGCTTGCTTAGCAGGGTAAAACTGGGCAGTTCTTCTGGGGAAACTGAATAAGCATTTTAAGAGGTTGGTCCGTCTGGCTTTGTGGATGCTGTCACACCAGCTTACAGAGGATAAATGAAACTTGTTGAGTGAGACATGATTAGAAGTACAATGAAGGAAGAAGCAAGAATGGTTAAAAATTAAAAGGAGTGTGAGAGGTAGTATCAAGTTAGCTCAATGTTCCAGAAGGGATGAGGTAAAAATTAATTTTTCCTGTTAATAGGGCTTTGCTTATTTTGGTGAGCACTGTTTCTGTGGCCTGTAGGGGCAGAATTGGAGATTGTGGAGCTAGAATTGAAGGAAGGAGCTCCAGAGAGTGAATGTAATCAGTGGTGATTGTAAGCCTAGGGAGAAGAAGGAGGTTTATGTAGACTGGAGATTGAATAGATTAATAGTTTGGGGAAAGGAATTGAATCTGCAGCTGGACTCTTCCAGATTGGATCATCGGATAATTGAGGTTGGAAGGGACCTTAGAGCTCTCTGGTCAAACCTCTTGCTGAAAGCCAGGTCAGTTGGGAGATCAGACAGGGTTGCGTAGGGCTTTGTCCATTTGGGTCTTGAAAACCTCCAAGGCTGGAAACAGCTCAGTCCTCTGCTCTGTGGCCTGACTATCGCCATGGGGAGGAGGATCTGAACCTCTCTGATTTGAAATTGTCTTCTTTCGAGTTGAAAGGGCTTGTCGCTCATCCTCCTGTGCAGCACCACAGCAGGTGTGCTTGGCTCCATCTCGTCAATCACTGCATAGGTATTGTGAGGCTGCGGCTAGGTCCCCCCAAAGCTGTTCTCCCAGCTGAACTGTCACTCTCATGCAAGTGCTGAGCCTCCAGCCATCTTTGTCTACCTTTGTGGAACTTGCTTCCATTTGTCAACACATACCTCGTGCTGAGGGACCCCAAACTTGTCACAGGATGTAAGTGCGGTCTTATGGGTGCCAAATAGAGGGGCATAATCCCTTCCCTTGATATTCTCGTTATGGCTTTCTTGTAGCCTGGGATGCTGCTGGCTGCTATTGCCAGGCACACTGGTGGCTCATGCTCAGCTTGATCTCTGCCAAGGCTTCCAGGGCCTTTTCAGGGTAGTGCTCCCTGGCAATTCAGTACCCAGCCTGTGTCGTTGCAGGGACTCTTTCTTCCCAGGTGCAGAACTGTGCCTCTCCTTGTTGAATTTCATGAGGTTCCTGTTCATCTAGCCTGTTGGGGACCCTCTGGATAGCCATCAAGCTATCAACCCTCCCCTGCCCTCAAGCCTGTGAACTGGTTGTCATACACCCCCAGAGCATTTTGTCACCTCCTTCAAGTTGTTGATAAAGATGTTAAACAGGACTACTCCAGGAGCAGAGGTGGTACCCCACTTGTTACCGGTCTCTGGGCAGAGTATGACTTACTTACCACGACTCTCTGAGCCTGACCAGCCAACTAGTTTTTTACCCATCAGGTTGTACACCCATCCAGACCATAATATGTTAGATTGGATGCAAAAATGTGAGAGGTGGCGATGAAAACCTTGCTTTCACCCAGCCCATTGAGCAAAGGGCCTGCTTTTACTACCGGTGTAGCAGCAGAAGCTGCTATGCCCTTGATGTCCTTCACAAGTCTCAGCTGCAGGTGAACTTTGGTTTTCCTGACACCACCCCGACATGCACTGGTGGTATTTTCAATTCCTCCTTTGTGGCCTGTCCTTGCTCCCGCTCCCCGTGTGACACCTTTGCACATGGAAGCTGAGTCACGAGTTCCCTGCGTAGCCGTGCTGGTCCCCTGGTACATCTGCTTGTCTTCCTGAATGGACCACGCTTGCCCGTGGAGGGGCTTAAAACCCCACCAGCTTTCCTCGGCTTCCTTCTCCTTCAGAGCTGCTTCTTGCTGGACCCCATTTATCTCTTCCCCGACTAAGCTGGTGTCTGCTGACCAGATTCTGGCCTTACTTGACTGTGTTTTATGATCTGGCGGTGTATTCCAGATACGCACTTTCCTCACTGTGCATGTGACTCTTGACAGCAGTTTTTTGTGATTCGCTGTGTTGTTTTGAGATTTTTCTTTCTGTGCCTTTCCAGGACCCATTTTTGCAGAGGAAAAGCTGTTGGAAATGACACCTGCAGGGCTTCACTGGCTTTCTGGGACCCTGCAGCTGCCTAACCTTGCCACTGCAGGGGAAGATCCCTCACCCTGCCTGCCCCATCCTAGTTTTCTGCCTTCTGAAAGCAAACACTTAGGCTCCTAGAGAGCATTTTAGAGAGGGATCCTCTTGGAGGGAAAAAACAGACCTGGAGAAACAGTAGTAAGTCAAGTCTGGCCCCGACCGAAAGGAACACTAGTGCAGGCTTAGAGGCTGGTTTGTAACATTTGTGATGCAAGTGAAAATGCAGTTGCTGTAGCACATAGTTTATGTGAATTCTCTTGTGGTTGAAAACTTGGACCTCTTGGTTTTTTCCACATAGTTACTGAAAGCAGGCTTTACACAGAACACTGCAATGCACATTCCTTCCTGTGGAAAGCCAATGGACTAAGAGACTTTATTGTCAAATATGCTTTAAACTGGAGTTGATCTTTTGCTTTTCAAAAATTCAGTGACATTGTTTGTGTAAGCCAGACATCTGTCTGACACTCTGAAACGTGTTAGTTTCTCGAGAGGTTTTGATTGGACACATTTTTGGGGGGGGTCTCATTGGATTAAATGCAGTTACTGGGGAAATGATTGAGTTTAGTGTAAAACCTTTTAGAGAAATAATTGTCGTTTCTGAAAATCAGATTTTTGACACTTGCATATGGCACCCTATATGAGCATTGCGGTTCTGGACTTGAACTTTATACCGAGTTGAGACAGCAGTTTTTTGTGTTTAGAGGGCTGTGATCAGTAAATTACAGAGAGCTGTGTAGATGTTGTTTCATTAGAAAGTGGCATTTCATTTTTACAACTTACTCCTTTTCCATTGTTGGAGAACGTAGCAGCTCTGTTGTAAACAGTGTGTTAGACCCTTTTACAAAAACAGAGAAATGTAATTGGGTGACCTGTGTAACCTTCTTCTTTTACAGTGTTTGCAAACTTCGGGACTGGTCTTATCTTCAGTGGTACTGTGCTTTGCTGTAGATGTAGCCGTTTCTTTTGTATGCAGAGGCTGCTTTCTTATTAAAATGATGAAGGCGTTTGTCTGGTTGGAAGACTGTGCTAATTTCTTTGCCCTTAAAGAGTCCTAAAAGTCAGTGATTTACAGGTTTTGCTTCGTTCTCTCTCTCCTTTACCCTCCACTTCCCACTTCACCTTTAGGAAGCTAGCAGGGTGCACTCTCTTCATCACGGGTGCAAGCCGGGGCATCGGCAAAGCCATTGCTTTGAAAGCTGCCAAGGATGGTGCAAACATCGTGATAGCTGCCAAGACAGCTGAGCCCCATCCTACTCTTCCAGGGACTATCTACACTGCTGCAGCAGAGAGTAAGTTGTAATAATTGAGGGTGGGCTTCAGGTGCTGGGCTGGGTATATGCCCTAACTTCATTGTCATACCCGAGTGGAAAACCACATAGACTCTCATAGTTCTGACTCACCTTTAATGAAATAAGCTTAGTGCTTCTCTTGCCTCCCAGGAATGCTGGGAGGTATCAAAATATTACTGTAATGAAGACATGTGTGTATAGGTGTGAAAATGCTATGTTAAGTGAGATGTATGTGTGTACCATACACATTCTTGGTGTTAAGATTTGGTTTTAGCTTCCTTCTTCTTTATGCAACATGTAAAAAGGTCGCAATTTAAGAGTGTGATTTTCAGTGCCTTCTCGAAGCATGTCATTGAATTAGAGATTCTCAGTAGGTTCGTGCTATTTGTTCCATCTGAAGCAAATTTTTAAATGTTTAATTTTTTAATTGTGCAGTTGAAGCAGCTGGAGGAAAGGCTTTGCCATGTGTCGTTAATGTGAGGGAAGAACAGCAAATTATTAATGCCGTGGACAAAGCTGTGAAGACTTTTGGAGGTATGCTAAGGTGTGGGGGAGACATTAACAGGCAGATTGTTCAAACAAAAAGATAAAAGAACAGCCTTGTGCTTTTTGTCTTTAAATGCTGATGTGAAATAGCTTATTTTAAAACCAGGTATCGATATTTTGGTGAACAATGCAAGCGCTATCTCTTTGACTGGCACTTTGGAAACAGAAACGAAGAAAGTCAATCTTATGATGGATGTCAATGTACGAGGAACCTACCTTACGTAAGTGCTAGGCGAAAGAGGCAAAGTAATTGTAACAAAATGTATGATGTTATCTCAGTTTTTCTGAGAAATTGTGTAGTTGTATTGCTGTGCTAGAGTCGGAGTGCAAGTATTCTACATGTGTTCACAGGAAATTGCTCGGTTATTGGCCAACTGATTTGAAATTAATTGCAAGAACTAATTGCAAGGTGGAGTAAACAAGAACCTTATTACTGTAGTCATTAAGTGTTCACAAGCACCTCCATGCAGGTAGGAAGCAGAAACTAGTTTATTTCAAATGAAGCTCCAGCTTGGCTTTCCTAAATGCTGTTTGCTCTTTCATTTCAAGCAAAATGACTTACTCTTTGCTTTCATCAAGTGCAACATTTTGTTTGTCAGCTTCCTTCTCATAAGCTTCTTTCTCATCTTTAGAGGCATTGTATAACTCACCATAGTTAAAAGAGAAGTGTTAAAGATGTAACTTAACAATTTAGTGTTCTCTGCCTACTTTCAGCTTATCAATTCTATCATTTATTTAAATTAACATACCAAGATTTGATTTCACCATTCCTGTGGTCCAAAAAATGAGCAAAATAAGGAAATGGATTCAGTAGGTGAGATGATCTTTAGGTTTACAGGTTGTCATTTAAAGTTGCTGTGTTTTAAAATGAAAACTTTGATTTTGACAGCGTTGTGTTTAAATAATAAAAAAGCCCTTAGAATTATGCAGATTCTCTAAATTCATTTGTTGCTTGGTGTGATCAGGAGCTTTTATATCAAAGTTTTGTGTAGAATAGTGTCTGTCATTCTCCTTTTTGCAGGTGAATCTGGTTATCAGATATTATGATTACATTACTTAGTGTTCTTTTGCTAAGAATCAGTGAAGGAATTTTCCATTAGAATAGTGTAAAAATACACATGAATAGCAGCTTTCTGAATTAGAGACACATGCACGACCTGTAGATAGCACAGAAAGAGAAGGAGGGTGGAACAAAGAAAGACTCTGCTTGCAGAGTGAGATTTCTGTGCTTCCACCCTGTGATGCTTACTTTTGAAAGGCTGTAAGTGTAAGTGGTTCTGCACTCAGAAAGGAAAATTGATTTTGGAGCTTGATGTTCCAGAAAATACTCTGTGGGTATCTCTTGCGAAATCTCTGAATGGGTTCCGCTGTATTGCCAGTGACAAGCTTCGTTTCCCCCTCACTGTCCCAACAGTGACAATTACTTTCTTGATGGTAAATCTAGCTATTCCAAATTAATGGAGAATTCTTAAAGTCGTCTTTGCTTTGGGTGCTACTCTGCCTGATTAAAAGCAGGTTCTGTGTTGCTGCGAATGGAAGAGTATATGAAAGATTAATGCCTCTCAAGGGAGGTTACGAATGGTCTTTGTCATTGCGTTTATAACTGTCAGTCGGGAAGACCTAGTCAAACATTTCAGCGTTTTCTTCCCCTTGCTTTGTATGTTGCTTCTGTTCATAATTTGTAGAGATCTGTTTTCAATTTAATGTTCAGAAAGTTACAATAGCTATCAAACAAAATGGTGTGGATATTTTGTCTGTGTGGAGGGGGTAGGGAGGATGTCCCGTCTTACGGAGTGTAGCTATTGACATATTCTTGGTTCCTGTGCATTAAGAAATTGAGACATCTGTTAGTGAACCTTGCACGCTGCCACTGAAAAGAGTTGTGGTCACAGGACATTTAAGCAGGTGGTAAATGATTTACTTTACTACTGTCATGATTTTGCTCTTGAAGATGTCCCTTATGTGGCTGACAATATGCCTGGGTCCTCTTGAAATGTGTGAACAGTAGGTCAGTAGTGTAGTCCACTGCAGTGGTGTTCTTCCTGTGAAGCTTAGTTAAAAATTCTCTGGTGGAGATAAAATGCAAACATGTACCCTAGTGCTACAAGTGAAGTCAAATGATGGTTCCTGTAAAGTAAAGTTTATGACTTACAGATATGTGTAAATTCTAAGTTGAATGAAATAGTGACTCTTCCAGTTAGCAGAGAATAAATTTTCAGTTTTGCTTGGAATATTTGTAATAGCCTCCCACAGTACAGTATGATTTCTTTAATGTGGTTTGAAAGAAGAAATAGGTATGGGATCAGAAGATAATATGATTAAATGATGCTCTGCTCTGTTAATTTCACTTTTTACCTCACACTGTTTTATTGCCCCTACTAGAACTATTACAAGGAGAATATGGCTTCTGAGCATCTGGAAAATCAGCTTTAGTGGACGCTGCTGCATTATTTGGAGAATGTGGTCCAGTTAGCAGGAATAAATATTAGGCTTGAGATAAGTGAGCTAGGACAGACTTTTTTTTTTGTTCTTTATATCAGTTAAATAATTGATACAAGGGCAGAGTCTCAGCTGAGTGTTGGATTTTCATGAAAATTAAAATACTGGTCTGCTAATATGGTTTTTACTGTAATTATAGGTGTTCCATAAAATAAGAGATGAGCAATTTGTCTGAATCATGTCTTTCAGGTCTAAAACATGCCTTCCCCACTTGAGGAAGAGTAGGAACCCCCATATCCTGAACCTCAGCCCACCTTTGAATCTGCATCCCATGTGGTTCAAAAATCATTGTGGTGAGTAACATTCAGAGCCTTTGTTGTTATGTTTTCAGAACCATGTAAATCCGTATTGAAATGTGCAGGAGTGCCAGCCCAGAATGCCAGATCTTGTATCTTTAGCACTATATACAGACTGGCACTAACAGTTCCCCAGACTGTTTTGTACCTAACCTAAAAAAAATTGTTGTGTGGGAAAATGTAGTGCAGGTTTCATGGCCTAATACATCCTTTATGTTTTCAAGAATGTTTTCAAGGTAAGAGTTTGTGCTTTTTCATGGGAATTCTTAAGACTACAAAATATTTTCTGTTCCAAATAGAGATTGAAACCCATAATCTATTTTCTTACTAATTCAGTTTCACATTTGATTTAACAAAGATAAAGCTCAATGTTGTCTTTTGAGGTGGGAAAGGGACTCCATTTTGTCTTGAGGTTAATGTTGGTTATTTTAAAACTGAAAAAAAACCTTTCCATTTTGGACGCTTGTCATGTTAAACTGTTCCAGCAATTCCCAGTTTTTCCCCAAAAAAGTTTCCCTTCTGAAAATAGATGACAAGGATCTAGAATTTCCTGGGTTTGTTTTTTTCTTTTTTCCGTTTTTGTTTTCTATGGGATAGTAGTTTTGTCGTCAGTGGCTGGTATGCCTTCTTGTCAGTGTGCTGTGTATAAAAAGCACAACAAAACCACCATACGGCTAGGCTTCAGTTGTTTTTGTCAAAACGTGTAGCTCTCATTTTGTTTGTAGCGAAAAGATGGCAGACTACAGTTTGTATCTGCTGAGGGTGGTGGGCAGAAGGGAGAGATTTTTGACTTTATGGACATATTGTTTTGTCCCCAAAAACTTAGTTTTCCTTAGGAACAAATAATTTGGTTTTTTCTTTCCTTCATAATTAAAGTTCTGTTGATAGAGTGTAAATTTTTTTTTTTCATACTTCTTGTCTTAGCGTATACCATTTCTAAATATGGAATGTCCATGTGTGTCTTGGGAATGGCAGAAGAATTTAGAGGAGAAGTTGCTGTCAATGCTTTATGGCCTAAAACAGGTGATTTATTTTTTTTTTCTTTAATGCTACTAAAGTAATGATTTTCCGCATTTTGTCTTCTACAGCTTGTTTTATTTGACTTTGAATATACTTCAATGTAAGTCAATAGACTTCTTCTGGAATTGGTTCAGGAGAATAAGCTGTTCTTTTGGATATTGTTTTTTTTATCCTACACGGGTGCTGGTTTTCATTCCTAGTTCTCACTAGACCATTGCCACTTTGATCCAAACTCATCTTCAGCTAGTGAGCAACCTGTTCAACCCGTTCAGTTGGCTGAAGCATCTGTGTAGTATTTGGCTTGTCTGTTCTCTTTCTCATGCACCCAGAGTTTTGGTTTGGACAGAGTCACAAAAGTATTAGCATAATTTCATTAGTAGGTATTAAACGTCTGCGTATGTAGTACTATTTAGAATTCCTTGCTAGTTAAATTTTCAGAGCATAGATGGAACCGACAAGATACATACCTCCGTAAATGCAGAAGTAATTAAAAAAACCTCTGTTGTAGAAGTTTTGGTGCAGTGGGCCAGCAAATGGTTGTTTGCAGAACCATCTGTTTGCAAGTCACAGGAAATGAAAGAGCTGTATGGAAGAAAAACAGCTCGATGCTCCCACATTGCATTAACTTCAGTTTGTTGTCTGTGCGTCAGTGAGGATCAGGGCTGCTGTTCAAGGCCTGGGCAGCTGTTTGCCCAAGAGGCCAGTCTCTTCGCCCCAAGTACATCTATGTGCAGAAATGATACTGATGTTAAAATCAGTAAAGACAGAGGGTAATCCTGCCCTTTAGTGGTGTGAGACCAGTCATTTCGTAACAGTGGTGCTACGAAACATTACAAAAGCAGAGTTTATTCCCTTAACTAGTGGAGGGAGGGAAGAAGGAAGAGCAAATAAAAATACGGACCAAGATCCTCTTCTGGGGCCAGTGCTCTAGTGTTAGAAGTGTTGGTACCCAGGCATTTTTCAATGTTTTCCTGTTAGGAGCTGCAGTTCCCTTTTAACTAACTGGTTATACTAGGTGTTTATTTTGCAATGTAGGTGTTTTCCCCCACCCATCTGAATAATTCAGCTTCCTGTTTTTCATGGCGAGGGAAAATAGAACCTAGGAGAACTTGTCCACCCACTCATGATGAAGAATTTTTCAGAGGGGTGGCTAATTTTATAGGCAGAATTTACATTAAGTCGTATGTTGCATAGGTGAATACATTATTTCTTTCCAGCGTTTGCATATGCTGCAGCACTCCAAATGTCAGTAATAGTACCAGTGTCCCAGATATGGTCTGGTATTAAAGGATGTCTATGATGGTATTAATTAAACTGCTAGAAAATGTGACATTCTTATTGAGGAGGAACTCCAATCCAAAGAAAGTAGTATCTTTCTCTTATGCATTAGAGTGCCACTGTGTCCTTGGTAACACATTTGTACCTGCTAAAATGAGTAAGAGAATAACACTTGTTATAGAGTGCAGCTAATACCTGTCCCCTCAGGAACTGCAGAACATGAGGCTTGGAAGTGCAGGAAGACTCAGTTTACAAATGACAACAGTATATTCTAATAAATGCTTTTTTAATAAAGATTTCTCTCTGTGAGATGCAGCAAAGTAATTTAAAAGTAATTAAGCTTTCTGTAAAATCAAAGATATGGAGACAGAGCTTTGTATTTGCTGTATGTGTTCTTGCTCATTCAGTTTAAGACTCTTAGAAATATTAGATGAGCTCTCAATATTTATATAAATCAGTGATACCTCCATGAAAACTGATGTGCCCTCAAGTGTAACAGAGGATAATAATGTGCAAATTCTCCAGTACAAAAGATGTTATTTTTGGAAGGTTCATCTTCCAAAGGTGAGAACGTTAACTACTGTCATATGATCGCCAAAGAGAGTTACAGACTTCCACAGTATCTAAAATACAGTTGCAGAGTTCTTAATTAAAAAATCCACTATAATCTCATACAAATATGATAGCTTTAGTGCTAGTGTGGATGCCAGTATCTGTTGATTCATCCAACTCTTTAACCATGTTAAAGTATGCTGGTAATAAGATGCCAGGAGCTCTCCATTTATCTAAAAATGAAAGAGGAAGCCTACCAAAAGGGCAAGGGCAATCCCATCACTAAGAGTGCATGTGAATAATAGAGGTATCCTGGGACAGGACTGGAAGACTCTTCGTGTGCTTTAGAGGAAAAACAGCAGCACTTTATATGAAATAGGTAGAACAATGTGCAGCCAGACTATGAGGCAGTACCTGTGTAAACCCATTTCGCTTTGGTCTGTGCGCATAGGCTTACTGTGCTTGGAAGCATAATAGTTGACACTAACAGAGAAGTGGCAGAAGCGTGGGCCAGCAAAGTTGAACAGGTTAATGAATCTTCAGAATAGTGGAATATATTCAGGTCAACAGAACCTGGTAAATTTCATCAGAGTATTTGACAGAAATATTCCCTGAACTATTGGTAGTTATTTTTAAAAAATTAAAAAATCATGCAGGACAGATCGCATTTCAGAGGACCAAAGAAAGGCAAATTTATTTCCTATCCTTAAAAATGAGAAAAAGACCTAGGAAGACCTAGGTGTAATCCGTTTGCCACTTTTTTTATTTAGGTGTGTATTTATAGCAGTTCAGTTGATTAGAAAAGAAGAAGCTGAGGTTGGTCAAAGATAAATGAAACCTAGGGGCTAATCCTCACCACAGAAGAGTAGAATAAGGGAGTCAACAAGGACATCTACCCACTCTCGCACTTCTCTAGAAAACACTTGAACGGGATCTCCCTGACCAGCATTGAAAACTGCCATCCTTTTTCCCAGTTCCTACTTTAGAAGGTGAATGAGCCAGCTCAGGTAGATGTGTCCTGCACAGTGCCCGTTCTTTGCATTTTAAGGGATGTTGGGATCATTTCTGCATCAAAGCTGCTGTTACTTTGTGTGGAATGGAAACGCTGAAAGGAGGGCGTGATTTAAAATCAGGTTTATATTTCCACCTCCAGGATCTGCCGTTCCCAGGTGTAGGAGAGGATTTGCCAATCTGTCCCAAAACGTGCGGGCAGAGTGTTGAGTCTTAAACAGCAGATGGGGAAAAGTCATGAAGCAGAACTGTATGACGGGAAAGCAGTAATACAGCAAATGCCAAAAGCTGCAACCAAACAGCCTCTCTGTGGAACAGGATGAAAGAAAAATGGAATGGATACTTGGAAGAGCAAATTAGACTTAGACTGGAACATGCCACAATGTTAATAGCTCCCTTGGGGAACGCATAAAGAAGACTAATGGAATGGTGCAGAAGTTAGTAGGATTAATTAATAAAACAACCAGAAGCTTAGGAGGTCTGAATTTTATTCTTAGGTCTAACACAGCCTTTCTTGAACAAGTTATTGGAGTTTTTGCTATTCGGTTTCTCATTAATTTAGGAGAGACACTTTGGTATCTCATGGGAGTTATTACAAGGCTAAAATTAAGCATCAAGATTTTCAGTGTGATAATCACCAAAGGAAATAATCCATGGCAGGAGGCACTGATAAAGGGATAGAGGGATGTGACTGTCATAAAAAGTGCTGCCCATTATTCCACTTTTTGGTTCCTTTAATAGTTTTCTGGTTTTTACCAGTGCTTCTAGAGAATTATTTGTTGGTTGGTAGTATTTCAAAGTTTTGTCTTCCTACCATTTCCTGTTGCATGAAAGGAAAACAAAATTTGTGTACTTGCCAGAGAAACAGGAATTTCATGTAATCAGTGTTAAAGCTTTGTTTTCTCACCCTCCAAACTTTCTAGCCATACATACAGCTGCTATGGATATGCTGGGAGGATCTGGAATAGAAAAACAGTGCAGGAAAACGGATATCCTTGCAGATGCTGCATATTGCATTTTAACAAAACCAAAAAGTTTCACTGGAAACTTCATTATTGATGAAGTTCTGCTGAGAGAAGAAGGAGTTAAAGATTTTGATGTCTATGCAATTGTACCAGGTAAAACAAATTTTTAAGGTGAGAAATAAGTTCATGAAGGAGGGAAGGCCATATGGAGAATATTAATGTAGTTTTGTTTCTAGTGGTCTTAACTTAATCTGTAAAAGGTTGCTTTGCCTCAGCTTTCAGAAGATGCATTCCTGGAAAGGACATACGAGTACGAGTCCACTGAGCGTCTAATCATCAAGTGCATATTAAATTAGGAAAATACTTTAATGAAAAGAAAATGTATCTGCACTGTAGATATATATATTACTATTTACTGGCTACTGAAATAGAATTTTTTTTCTCTTCTTCACGTGTTTTTCATTGCAAATTTAAGAAGCTTCTGGGTCAGATTTTAAATGACCCAAACTCTAAACATGTTATTTCATGCTATGTCTTTTTTTCAAATGTACTTATAAACTTGGCTGTAGCTTCATACAAAATAGATTCCTGTTTGTGCTGTCCAACTTTACTTGGACTTACTGTTACATTTTTCCTACCCTTTAGGTCACCCCCTGATGCCTGACTTCTTCTTGGATGCTGAAACTGACAAGACAGCCATGAAACAAGAAGGATATGGTAGGGGAAGGACCAGGGACATTGGCCAAACGGAGATTACGTAGGGGCCTACATGGAATGAAAAACAGTGGAGTCGAGTCGTTTCCAACATCCTTTCGTTCTCTGCTGGATCTGTGAGATTTTGCTTAGAACTGAGCCTGTTCCTAGTCCTGCTCGAAACACCGGAGCTTTCCCTCCGTCTTGCCTGCCATCCCAGTTCGTCAGAATGCCCGCAGCCGGACTGTTTGTCTTCTGCTCACCCATACCTCTCCCTTCCTTTGCCTCCTCCACAAGTCCCTCTTAATTCACACTAACTGCGAGGTCAGGCCTCGCCTCCAAATCCTGCACTGCCACATCCACATGTAACTCTTCCCACATCAACTCCTCCTCCCTCTCTTGCCCGCTGGAGGCTCTGACCTCCTCCTGCCCTTGCTGTGCTGCCTGCCTGTTGCTACAAGTTGGCGGCTTGTCTTTTCCCCCTTCAGCTTTCACGCAGAGATTCTGCGCAGTGTCCTAAGAGGGATTCGTGTTTGACAGCTGATGCTAGAAGGGGAAAATCACCTGGTGGGGCTGAACTCCCTGTAAGAATTGAGACGGGTTTTACTGACCTAAAGAGAAATCAAATTAAGCCATAATCAGGTGCGCTAGTCCTTGTGTGTTGAGATGATAGTTGTTGTTTCACTGTCACTGCAGTTCCCATTGTCACAGGGCTCCATACTCCTGTAGGAATGACGCGTGACCAAGGTGAAGGGGCCAAAGGCTGTCTGAACACATTGCACCTGGAGTGCCTTTCATGCTGCTTGCTTTCTGAAGGTTGCCATCCTGCATGGATGAAGGCAAAACTGCTTTACTGAGAAGATCTTCTTCAGGCATGACTCTCCTTCAGCCTCTCTCCAGCCACTCAGCCCAAGTAAGGAGGAATGCAGGGCTTGACTGTGACACGCTCCGTGCCAGGCTTGTAAGCCTCAGGCCTGCAATGAGCTCCATGTAAGTGAGCCATCGTGACTGCGTAGAGAGCTGCTGGGTTCAGCCAGGTGGAGACATACCTGCAGGAGAAGGCCCTATGCTTCTTCCCTTCAAGTCTTTCTTTCTGTCCAGTATTTAATAGGGGAAACGGAGGGATGGACCTTTTTTCCACACCAGGAGGGTCAGTTTACCTCCTAGGAGGTTTTCTAGCGTGAGAAGCAAATAACATTTGAAAAAGCACTGCAGAAGCTGGAAGGCTTGTGCATTGGCTTTCGGCAGTTTTGCTGATGCCTGCGCATTAGGCCCACAGCTCACCCCCGGCTAATTTCTGACAATAATGAATTCTTTCTCTATTTCAAGTTGTTTTTTCTTTTTTCTCTTCTCCCAAGAGCTTGGACTTAAGCTATTTGGCAAAACCCCTTTTCTCATTTGCGGGGTATGATTTAGGGAAGTGACTCAGTAGTTAAAGCTAGTGAAAAAATGTTACCTCCTGCAGGACTTTCATGGTATAAAACCAGTGCCTTATTTTGAAGGATCCATTCAGCCCTTCTTAACCATCTGAATTGTGGTACTATGAAGGTCACAGGTAAATATTGCTGGGAAGAGAAATTAAATAGCAAATAGCACATTTCGCCGGAGTGTCTCATTTGCCTTGCTAAATTTGTACAAGAGAACAGGCTGGAGAGCCTCCATTGCTTCTTAGATGAAACTTGCACAATATACACAATTTAAATAATTTTTAGATGAAATGGAGAAGTCTTTTTTAGAAAAGCATTGCTTTTACTTTTTCAGAATTGTAGTGTGAAGTAGGAGGGCAACCAAGAATGGCTCGTGCCAACTGGGAGGCTTGTGCATTGGCTTTCGGCAGTTTTGCTGATGCCTGCGCATTAGGCCCACAGCTCACCCCCCGGCTCCAGGTGCTGAGCTGCAGGGGAGCAGAGGTTTCCCATGGGCTGAGCACCCCTGCGTCTGTGCCCGAGGTCCGGCGGCGGGGGAGGCATCCCCCCAAACTGCCCTTCCCTCCCATGGTGCAGCATTCATCCTGGAGCAGCGCTAGCCCCTGACCCCCACAGCTGCTCACAGGAGAGCATGGTACACCCTTCTCTTTCAAAAACTCCTTTAACTTTACGGGGTCAGGCATTTTGTCCATCAGCCTTTTAATTTATGCAACCTCTGCCATAGCATTGCAGCAACACCTCCCTGGCTGCCACTGCTCCCTCTGCCATTGTGGACCGCTGTTGCTGGCAGTGCCCGGCTCTGCCAACAGTTTCTCGTTCCTCAGCCTTCACCCATGGCTCACCTGGCTTCACGGAGGAAAGTGATGAGGAAAGCGTGGCCGTTTGGAAGGAGGTAGCGAGAATGGTCCTAGTGAGCGATGTCAGCTGCGCCCTGAGTGTCCTCAGGATAGTGAGAAGACCTTTCAGGCCAGCAGTCAGCTCTGAAAACACCGTGTCTCCTCCAGGCTAACGATCCCAACAAACTTGCTTCTGCCCTTCCAGCCTCCTGTGTGTTTGAGTGGAATTTGGCCTTTCACCATCACTCAAGTCTTAAGCACTCTTTAGTGGATATATCTCAAAATGAATACAGAAATAGGTAGAAACATCCAATTTTTCAGGTAGAAAGTGAGGCAAGCAGAGGAACACCACTTGTCCGAGATCACATAGCATGCCAGGGGTGTAGATCACTGATACTCCTGCCCCATGGGCTGTATGGTATTCTTTCGCCTGTTCACTGTTAACAAATGTGCACCCTAATGAGCAGTGCTGTTATTTCAACCCGTTAAGAAGAGAATTTTTAGCAAAAGAATCATTATACTTAAAAGATTGCCCTTAAACAGACTACTTTTTGATTGGAACTTTAAATAAGATTTGGATACATAACAACAAAGGCTAAGAACATTTCTGGGTACACTGCTACTAGAAGTAGTCCCCAAATTTGGCTGCAACTGTAAGAATTTGTTAGAAATAAGTAAGGAGCGTGGAGGAGAGGTGTGCAGAGGGGAGAGGAGGTGGGTTTTTCTTAGTGTTTATTTGTTTTTACTTGTTCATAAGAAAATAATTACATATTTATATTAATTGATAATGAATTTAATTGATTGAAATTCCCCAACTCAAAACTATTTTTTTGCTGCCTAGAACGATGTGTATATTACTACATACCCGCTAATGACATAGTTTCTCACTTCCAAATGTTTTCCATAGCAATTTGAAAACGCTTCTAGTTTTGATGGTAGCAGTGAAGATTGAAAGATGTAGGACGGGAAGAACTGTGTGTACAAGTCGATTGGTTCTGGTGCTAATGAATGCCGTGTGCATTTCAAGTTGGTTGGGGCTTTTTTTTCTGCCAGGAGCATGGATTCCCTTCAAGCTATTTGCAAAACCCCTTTTCTCATTTGGAGGGTAAGATTTATGAAGGTGGCTGTGGAGCCTCTGTACTTAAAGCTAGGGAACGAATGTTACCTTCCACAGGACTTTGAAATTTTCATTGTTTATAATCAGTGCCTTATTTTGAAGAATCTTTTTTTATACTGAAGGTCACAGGTAAATATTGCTGGAAAAAATACTAAAAGTCTAAGAGCACATTTTGCAGGAGTACCATATGATCTGTCTTGACAAATTTATCTAAAAAAAGGTCTCTGTTGCTTCCTAGGTGAAACTTGCATGATGTACAATCTCTTAGATGAAATGCAGAAATCTTTTTTTAGAAAATGGTTGGTTTTGCTATTTCAGAATTGTGGTGCGTGAAGTAGGAGGGCAACCAAGAATGCTGAACGGGTTTCACAGGAGTGCTAAAACAGGGAAAAGAGAAGGGCAGAGGAGGCCAAGTTTGAACAGCGTCCCTTTCCCTGGGAAATACTTTTTGAGCAATCACAGTAGGACTGTTCTGCCAGGGACGGATGGTGATCGTTCCATGGGCCTCACAACGCAGGTTATTTAGTAGGGACTCACAGAATAGTCCTAACTGGTTTTTTGACATTGAAGACACCTAAGAGACTTGCTACAGCCTTTTTAGAGGCTGTTCAACTTGATCAGCCTTGTAAATTGCAAAGGCTGTCCGTTATCGTTAACTGTACCCATTCGCTGTGGTATAGTAAGATGCTGACGAAAGCAGTGAACTGACTTACAGAATAATGGAAATATCCATGTCTTAGCAAGATAGACAAGGCAGAAGTATTTTGAGGTGAAAGTGGTGTTTATTAAAGACGCCAACTTATTTTTGGTGAGTGCTGTCAGGAGTGTATGGATTGCGTTAGAAAACGGTGTGCTGTGTAAGCATTTGTAATGAACTGTGAACAGTCTGAATTTTGCTGTGGTTTTATTTTCACTTTTCTTTTGACGTATTAGGAAGCAAAATGTATTGCAGAGTGACCGTCAGTGCTGTACACCTGTTCAGATTCCCAGGTGCAAAAGCCATCCTTTACCAGTATTAATACTGAAAGGGGCAAATCCTCATTTTCCCTGCTGCGCAGCTTAAATCCTTTCAAACGGATCTCTCTACGCACGTTTCTACCTGCAGTTTTAAAGTGTTCTGCATTTGAAAGACAAAAATAATCTCTTTCTTGTAGGTGCTTCCCAAGCGGTCAAGGAGCAGAAGAAATCAGGTGGATCCCAGGATGAAGGATCAGATGGGGCTAAGGTCAACACAGACTCTGCTCCAGCCAAGCCATTGAGTCCTGTTGCAGACACATTCAGAGTTATCCAGGGGGCACTGAGCGAAGAGTACGTGAGAACTACTCAGGGTGTCTTTCAGTTTGAATTATCTGGTAAGACCATCACTTGTAAAACCTTCACATGCTCACGCTCCTAGAGTAAAAGGCACTGGGTGTTTTGAAACAGAAGCTCTCACCTTTTGAAGCTGATCCTGAAACAGACCGCCCTTTCTTCTGTTCCGTGGGATGCTCCTTCTCGGGACCAACCTCAGCCCGCGCAGGGAGCTTCTGCCACCCCCCGCGTACAGGGGCAGGCTTTGTCACAGCGCTGGTCCTGCCGCACAGGCTTAATGTAATGATAGACTGGGGTGCTCGCGGAGTCCTGTTAAAAGCGGCACCTGCCGCCAGCTCTGCCAGCAAAGTGCTGCCTTGGGGCTCTTCTGTCCGTGTCCCCGACGCGTGGTGCTGCAGGGCGTCTGCCAGAGACTGGCTTTGCCTGTGCGCAGGACGTGGGGCAAGTGGTAACTTCTTGCAGAGCACCGCCAGCGGGTGTGCTGCCACGTAACAGCTCCAAATGGACACGGCAGCGGCCATCTGACAGGGAGCAATAGGGAGGGCATGGCGCACCTTGATGCCTTGTCACCTCTTCTCGCTCTCTGTTCAGGTGATGAAGGAGGCACTTGGTATATTGACCTGAAAACCAAGGCTGGGAGCGCTGGTTTCGGAAAGCCTCCTGTGACGGCTGATGTGGTTATGAACATGTCGAGTGCCGACTTTGTGAAGATGTTCACAGGTGAGTGACAAAGGCATTTGCCAGGGTGGACGCAGGTACCGGTGCCCAGAAAACCTTCTGCTGATGGGCAAACAGACAGCCTCCTGGCTTTGTCATGCTGGGATGGAGGAGCTTTCGGCTTGTTGTGGCTCCGGTGAAAGTGTAGGGTGGAACTCCTCGGATTGTTCTGCACTCTCTTGTTCTGCGAACGGGACGGGCACAAAAGCTTATACGGCTTTTATTAACCAGATATTGAAATTTTAGCAGCGAGTGTAGCTTCAGAAAGAATCCAGTCAATCTGGCGGATTTGTCTTCTGCACATCTCTAATTTGTGTTTCCTAAATGCGCACTGCTTTTACGGCAGAACTTGGTAGCAATATAGCTACTAGGTCTCACTGTAGTGGCATTATGTTTTCCGTGCACAGGCTGTCTGCAGCTCCTTTTCATTTTCTGATAGTTCTGTTTCTTCTTTTTAGGTAAACTAAAGCCGACCCTGGCCTTCATGTCAGGAAAATTAAGGATTAAAGGTAACATGGCGCTAGCAATAAAGCTCGAGAAGATGCTGACACAGCTTACCTCTAAACTGTGAGGGGAAACCCTTACGAGCAGAACAGTGGCCTTTCATACATAACTGCAATGCTGTTTTAAAATGGTAGTCCTCGTTTTTCTCTGATGCAATATAATAAGAATGGATAAAACATGAGATTTTTTTAGTGAAGAAATAACTCCGCGTGATTTAGACTAGAAGGTATTTGTCTGATTAAACGAATTCCTTCTCAAGAATACACATACGAGGTTGCAGGCGTTTTCTTTCCTTCTGCTCCTCTGGATCAACGCAGGACACCTGAACTAAGTTTTTTCCCACATAGCTGCTTGCACACATGTCCCATAAATAAGGGGGGAGGGGAGCACATGTCACCCTGTTTCTGTCATGGAAATGCCATGCCGAGATTCCTGAGCTGGCTTAGAAGTGGAAGCAATATGGTCAGTTTAGCAGGGCCCTGATTACCCTTGGTAAATGAATATCTCATTAATTATTCTTTTTTTGCTTTCCTGAGTTTATTATTACCTACACTAGTTCTCATACCTCTGTATTGCACTGAGTTAGGCTGCACGGACATACTGAGTGATATGCAAGTTTTCTTTTTGTGCAAAGGTACGTGTGCACACACACACTCTCCTACACAGACTGCCCTGCCCCTGACTGCCACAGACAAGGTGCTGTCTTCCACAGCACCTTCACTCTGGCCACAGTCGTAAGAGACGAC